GGGAGGGGAGAGGGCCCGGCGAACCGAGCCCCAACTGCCGGAAGGAGGCCTCGGCGGTTTTCCTGCCCCATCCTGTGCCGTACCTTCCCACCGGAAGCGCAGAGGGAGCCGTCGGGAGAGACCGTCACCGTGTTCAGGTAGCCCGTGTGACCGATGTGGTTAGTCTTCAGCTTGCAGTTCGCCAAATTCCAAACCTGGGGAGGGAGAGGGAAAAATCAGCCGGGGATGACGCCCTCCCCGGCAAGATTCCAGCTGCTCCCATCCTCCCGCCGCGGAGAGCCCGGCCTCACCTTGACCAGTTTATCCCAGCCGCAGGAGACGATGATGGGGTTGCTGCTGTTGGGGGAGAAGCGCACGCACGACACCCATTCCGAGTGACTCTCGTCCTGGGGAAGAGGAACGACGCCGGGTTCACGGAGAGGAAGCGCGGCTGGGTCTTCCCCACCCCATCCGCGGGGCGCTGCAAGATCACACCCGTCGCGCGCTCCGTCGCTTCCCCGAGCCCCTTGGAATTGTAGAACCGCCCCCCCCGGAGCGCTCAGCGTGGCTTTGAACCCTCAGGAAAGGGCTGGGAGACCCGGATTTCCCATCAAAAAGGGTGGGAGCGGACCCAAAAGGGAGCCCCCAGAGGGGTTTTCTCACCTGCACCGTGTACTTGCAGACTCCCAACGTATTCCAGAGCTTGATGGTCTTATCCCGGGATCCCGACACGATCTGGCGGTTGTCGGAGGAGAAGGCAACGCTCAGGACGTCCTTGGTGTGACCCACGAAGCGGCGGGTGGTGGTGCCGCTGTAGGAAGAGGGAAACGGTCCCAAATTCCACCAAGGATGAGGGGGAAAATTCAAATATCAGAAGGAAAAAGAAGCAGGGAGCAGCCTGGGAAAGGAGGGAATCGGGCCCGGGAAAGGAGGGAGTGATAACGGTTTCCCCTCTCCCTGACGGGAATTCAGGGGGAGTTGGGATGTGTTTATCCCGTGGGCACACCCGGCTCGGTTGTACCCCCCAGTTCAGCCCAAAACGCCCCCAAAAGAGCAGCGGGGGGAGGGTCCCCCCAGGCGCTTCTCCTCTCCCATCATAATTGCAGGACGTTGTCTTCAGATCCCAGCGGATCGGCAGACAGTTGTGTCAGGTTTA